TCAGCAGGACATTCAAGGAGTAACAAAACATTTCCCTTTTGGTTCTTGGTAAAACTAGTAACACGAGTTTGTGAGAAAGAGGCGAATACCGGTTGCCTCAAAAGCTCTGTGGCACGTACAGAGCTGGTGGGAAGAATGTCTGGACCAGAGGGATCCCAGAAGGGCACTTAACGGACATGTTCTGAGGGCATTTTCCCCTTTCTTTAAAAGAAAAATATTTAGTCGTATTCATTAAAACAAAAACTACCTCGGCTTCTGGAAGCAAGTAGTCTTATGGGAATAAGTTATCCACATGTGTGGCTTTGCACATAAATAAACAGCTATTATTTTTGAATGCAGTGTGTGTGCCTGGAATAATATGGAAAGAAAGAGAGGGATTTTACCCTAATGAGCCTAGAAGTGCAGAGTTCTGAAAAGATTTAAGAGGGGGTAGCTGTCAAGTAAGCACTAAGCCAAACAATACATGGGCTGAATAAAAATTTGGCATCCTGCTGCATGTGTGTCTCCCACTCCAAATATTTAGCGAGTAGCTTAGCTGAGAAGAACTCTGTAAGGGACCATTTGGGGGATAAGTACGAAAGGAAATGGCAGCAAGATATCTTGAAGACAATGAGTGGAAGAGCTTCAGAAAATTATGCCTGTATAAATCATCAGGGAGGAGGTTTGGATGCAGCGTTGTGGAGGAGATAGGAGTAAATTATAACAAAAAATGGGAGCAGGAAGCGGTGAATGTCTGCACAGGCCATTCAAAGTGGAGGTGAGGAGCTTGGGCTCATACTACGTTCCTTGCCAACCGTTTCAAGTCAGAGTTTGTTAGAAATGTGCAACACAAGTAAGCGCGGTCTCTCTGCATCTAGTGGGAAAACACTTTGTGCACACTGTAATTTTTCTTGGTGACAATAACATCTGCCTGGTACTGTTTGTTTATCCCAGGTGTACAGGTGGGATGACCACTCTAGTCTAGTTCTTCAGAGCCTGAATGAGCAGAGGCAGCGAGGCCTCTTCTGTGACATTGTCCTTGTGGTGGATGAACAGAGAGTCCCTGCCCATCGGAACCTTCTCGCTGTTTGCAGTGACTACTTCAACTCTATGTTCACCATCGGTATGCGAGAAGCCCACCAAAAAGAGGTTGAACTTTTTGGAGCCTCTTATATCGGTCTCAAGGCTGTGGTGGATTTCCTTTACGGCAGTGAGCTGTCTTTAGATGGTGGCAATATTGACTACGTCCTCGAAACAGCTCACCTGCTGCAGATCTGGAAGGTGGTTGACTTCTGTTGCGAGTATCTGGAGAACGAAGTCAGCGAGGAGAACTATTTGTACCTGCAAGAGCTGGCCTCTATTTACAACCTGAAGCGCCTTGACTCCTACATTGATTCTTTCATCTTGCAGAACTTCGGCACGCTGTCTTTCACCCCGGACTTCCTGCAGAACATTTCCCTGCAGAAGTTGTGCCAATACCTGGACAGCAGCAATGTGCAGCAGGAGTGCGAGCATGACTTACTGCAGGCTGCCTTGCAGTGGCTTACCCAGTACCCGGAAAGGGAGAACGAGGCTTACCAGGTTCTGGAGAACATTCATTTTCCCTTGATACCTAAAAGTGATCTCCTCCATCGAGTCAAGCCTGCTGTCTGCTCTCTTCTTCCCAAAGAAGCAAACTGTGAGGGGTTTATAGAGGAGGCGGTGAACTATCATAATAACGTCACGGCTCAGCCAGTGCTGCAAAACAAACGGACGGCCCTGCGGACCTGCGAGGAGAGGCTCCTCTTTGTGGGTGGGGAGGTTTCCGAACGGTGCCTGGAACTGAGTGATGATACCTGCTTCTTGGACGTGAGGAAGGGGCAGTGGGTAGCAGAAACCCCTCTCCCAGCCAGACGAAGTCACCACTGTGTTGCAGTCTTGGGAGGCTTCATCTTCATAGCCGGAGGCAGCTTTTCAAGGGACAACGGAGGGGATGCAGCTTCAAATCTCCTATATAGGTATGATCCCCGCTGTAACCAGTGGATAAAGGTGAGACTTAAGCTGTATTATTTCTGTTTAAAGTCCTTAATGTTTAGAGTGTTTTCTTTTTGGTGGAAGGACAGGGCTTGTTATAATAGCTGACGTAGCAACACTTGCAAATGGAAATTCAAGTTACTTAAGTTGAAAAAGCAGCTACTCGAACCCTTTGTGGGAATGGTGAAGTTACCCACGCAGTGAAAGACTTTGAGGCAGATTCTCAGCTTCACTTGGGAATCGGGCATCTCATCTGTGGAATTGCTGGTCGGCATCCACCTGCAACTCTTTACTTTTGGGAATAATGCTAGAATAGACTTGCAGACACAATTGCTTACTTCATCTTTCTCAAGCAGTAGCACATATAAATAAATAAGAAATGGATCTGATGTAAAAAGAAAATGTCTCTGACACTTGCCGTATGTCTCTGTGCTAAATGTGTCTCAGAACAAGCTATTCGCTTCCAGTCGTGCCGTAAAACCCTGCAGCCAGTGCAGGACCTAGCAAATACTGCACTGTTGCCATATTTTGAACCAGTCGTTCTGTGTGGTTCAGTTGTGTTTCTGAGTGATTCCAATTTATGTTCCTTACAGGGTTTGGAAGGAGGCCCATGTAACACAAACCTTTATAGAGTGGCCTGTCTTTTAGATGCTTTCTGCTGTCCCTTTTTTTTTTTGAAAAGGAGTGCTGTGCAACATGCTACTGCAGAAAAGCAAAAGTACTTTATGAATACAATGGATCAGAACCAGTAGCTCCCCTTTTCAAAGAAATGGGAAGAAGCCAATTCTATCCTCAGACATGAATATACATTAAGTCAGCTTCCTTACCAGACGTTTGAAGATGTCACCATGTTCTTTTTTTTGACAGGTTGCCTCCATGAGACAACGCCGGGTAGATTTCTACCTGGGAGCTATTACCGACATGCTGGTAGCTGTTGGTGGCAGGAATGAGAACGGGGCACTCTCTTCAGTTGAGACCTACAGTCCTCAGAAGGATTCATGGTCCTATATAGCAGGCTTGCCGAGGTAATAGGGGTGTTTGGAAAGTTATCCCATGTTTGACGAACGGTGGTCGAGGGAGCTTGTGTGACCGGGTATCCCTAGAAGGGAGGCAAGGGGATAATGTAACCAACATGGTATCAGCAAGTTACAAACCATATCAGCATTTGGTATTTGAGCAGCCATCTCTTCCAGGCAGCATGCCTCATGTCAGCTTCATCGGTTGTAATTTTTGTCCTGAGGTACGGTACATCTGAAGGATGGGAGGAAGAGCCCTTGTGATTTTGCTCTACTATTAAAATATTTTTCCTGAGGTCACTTGGAATTGAGTCTTTTCAGAGGCACTGTTTAGATCTTGATCAAAGGCTTTTGTAATTTATTTGGCCATACTTTGTCACCTTGTTGTGATTGTTTTCCTTGCGAGGTGTTTCTCTCTGGCTGCTCAAGTTGGCTTTTGCAGATAAACCACGTTTACTTGTATTGCAAATACAGATAACCCAGGCAAATGTGACCTTTCCTTCTCTCAGTTAAAACTCAGCTGCTCTGCTTCTGAGAGGCTTTAATACTGCAGCTTTTCTTGTAACAGCAGCACAGGACATTCCTCCTATCTTGAATCAATGTTTGAGTAGTGAGTTCGTAAGAATGGTACAACAGCATTTCATTTGCAAACAGGTTTAGTAATATTTCGCATTCATGGAAATTACAGGAGTATTGGCTATACGAGTGGTATTTTCATGATGTCTGAAACCTGCAGCTTCAGCAGCAGTGCTTGCTTTCTTAGTGGCATCACATGCAAGATACTTGCAATTTGATTTGAGAGATCAGGGGTTTTTTTCCCTTATTCCCTTAGCCGCCGAGCCATGGGCAGCCAGTGAAGGCAGAGAAGCCTGTTGCCCGATTCTATTTTGGGCAGGTGCTGCAATGCGAGTCTGATCCAGGCTAGCAGCTGGGCTCGAGTGCTCTTCAGGAGCAGGATGCTTTTTTTCCGTTTTATTTCTGCTCACATAGGCAGATCTAGCAGTTGAGGCTAAACAGCACAGTCCTTCCTAGGAAGCTGTGTATGAGTATCTCCAGTTCCTAAGCCCTTCTGGTCACTGGGTTGACCTGTGAGATCCCAATAACAGCTCACAGAAATGGGTTGGCTTTGGGAATTTTGCAGCTGCGGCATTTAAAAGTGAACTTTGACGTGGGCGGAGGGGTGTTAATTTTTTATTAGATTGCCTAGCTGATCCGCTTGGACTAGGCAAAAGCCCCCTTTGTGGGATAGACCCCACTTGCATCGACTTAGCTGGTTGGTAAACTGCAGGGCTAGGCTGTAACACAGCGACTATTTTAAGTTACTGCTGCATCCCGAAGAAATAGTTCTGCGGCCTCTCTTGCTGCCGGCTCTGTCCTTGTCCTGCGTCCACTGTCCCTTGTGCCAGCTCAGGTGCTTGTGCAGCTGTGTAGTAAACTAGATAGTTTCCCAGTTTCCCACTTTTCCACGTAGCTGCTCTCTTGCATGTTACTATGTCTTTAGTTGGATCTTAATGGACACGTAGTACATTCAGATTTTCTGTCTTTTCAGCCCTCTTTCTTGTGGTTGAGAACTCTTGCGTAGGGCGGTATGTTGTTAGCAACAGCTGTTTTTCTGCACAGAAGAAATGAAGTTAAAAGAACTTTATGCAGGTTGCAAAAGGCTGAAAGGCTAAAATCAGCGTAGAGGTCAACAACAGAAAGAAACCTTCTGAAAGCAGGGACAAGTCCCAACATAGCTGCCTTGTTTCCTGCATTTTTCTGTCATCTTCTCTCTGAAGAGAACACGTGCAGGTTTTTTTTGCCCTCTTGGGGGCACAGCCACCAGAACAGGCTCCCTGCCCACAGCTCTGGTGGTGTTTCTGACCGCTCTAAGCCAGCGACTGCCTGGAAGACTATTCCCTGCAGTGATAGTCACATCTGAGGTCATTCTGGGGTGTAGGCTTGCGTAGTTTGATTTCAGCTGTGTGGGCTTGGACTCTGAGGTTATATTTGTTAAAGCTTCTACTCTGAACATCCAGAAAATGGTTTTGGTTTGTTGGTTTGGTTTTTTTTTTTTTTTCCCTTCCCAAGGGTTATAGCTTGCCATGCGTGTGGAGATTTTCAGGGGAAAGGCAATGGTTGCGTCCTTGAATGCACATGCCTCCTGTCTGCTGCCAAATCCTGTGTCCATGCTGCTGTACGCAGGCACAGTCATGCTCCTCTGAGGAAAAGTTTTGCAAGTTCTCCCCCCAGCCCCTTCCCACCCCAACACGGTCAAAACAGCACGTTGTTTTCCCTCACTGCTTTCTTGGAAGGAGCTGAGCTGTTTTGACTGAAATAATGCTGTCTTACTGGAGAAGAAAACACAGCATCTCGAGGCAGATGCTTAACGTGGAAAACCTCAGCCAAGCTATCTAAAGGGTGGACCCGGTCCAAGTTTGCTACAAGTGGATTTTGCCTGACTCTCATTAGGGTCCTTGGCTGTGGGATGCCTTTCCTGTTCTTCAGAGAGGTCCTGTATTCTTTTCACCATTTCCCCAGACTCTTTGGGAGCAGTTGCTGCCGTAGTTTCTAGCCCGGAAGGGAGCAGCGGTGGCTGACAAGCTTGGTGGAGCAGAAGTTTCGTGCAATGTGTCCTCACCTTAAATAGACCGTGAAAAAGTCTGCTGCAGACATCATTGAAATTAAGTGAGTGGCTCTAGGTTAAAGTTTGGCAGAACAATTGAAAGCAGTTATATGAGGAAATGTGTTGGAACAGGTTAACGAATGATGGTGTCTCCTCTGCTAGTTGTGTCATGAATAATCTCGCAGGGTTGCAACAAGTGGACACCGAAATCCAGAGCAACCACAGCTTGCCTGGAGTTTGGTTGGAGTTGGGAATAACCAAAGCTTTATTGAGTTAGGCCAAATGTTCTTCTGTTTAAGAAAATAAATGGTAGATTTTATAGCATTTACTGAATGGTGTTACCATGTCAGAAACTGTAATTTTTGCAGCATCGTATGTAGGTAAGTTATTAAAAATCAGCAGCTGGCTCTAGCAGATGTTCTGAATCAAAACTTCTTTCTCCTTAATGCTTCTTTTGCTGGCTACTTTTAGAGATAACGCTGCCAAAATACTAGATGCTTTCTGTCAGAGGATGTCTGGACCCGCTGTATTGAAGTGTCCTGTTCTGTTGCACGTTTAGAAATGCCCTGTTTAAACCACAGGGCTTGCAGAAAGGATTCTTATTGATTGTTTGCAAGCTGTGCATTACATTTCATGCAGGTTTCTATTAATGTGAAGCAGGGTCTGTGCAATTTTGGATGAGCTTTTCAGAAGTCAGGCAAAGCAAAACACCTCTAGCGTATTTCAGTGGGTAATTTCCCAATAGTGGAAATCAACAAATCGATGGTCGATTTGATGCTTCAAAAATGATTGCCTCTTTCAAATGACTCTTGCAGCTATTGCTGTTCACTAGACGTACCCATTCATTGATGCAAAAAAAGAAAAGCATTGGTGCTTTTTCTGTAGCTGTCTGCACTGGACTGCATGCATGTGCTCGAGAGAAAATGTATATTGCTTGCTTCCCTGTACAGAATTCCACTTTCCAGTTAGTGTAGGAAAACATTTAACCTGCTTCTCCAAAGGTCACTCAAGTTTTTCTTCAGTTACGGTCTTCCCCCCCCCCCCAAATGCTGACTGTACCATGACTGCTATCAGCAGCACAGTAATGCTGGGCTTTCTGTGGGATTCAGTGGCATTGCACTCTTCTCCTTTTGACTCCTCAAAACTGTCCGTTTGCTACTACCTGCACAGTGGAGTGTGCTGCACATCCTCCAGGTAGCTTGCTGGTTAGATGTGGCCTTAAAATCAAGTGCAGCTTGAGAAAGGGAATGAATTCTCGTCCATCCTACTTCCCAGCTAGGTAATCTACTTTTTAAGACCCATTCCTGCGTATATTGAGAAGAAAAGACTCTACCAAGCAGAGTGGGTGGCACTGGAGACATATGCTCCAGTTCTTGTCCGTAGGAGACCACAAATGAGGTAGAGCAGCATCTATGTACACTGCCCCTGCCATAGCATTTCTGGCAGGTGCGAAAGCTGGAGTGCCTGCGCTCAGGGCACTTCGTGTCAAACAGAAGCACCAAGCATGAGTTATGTGCTTCCATGGTTAGGCAGGTTGTAAGCTGTGGAATTTTTTAGTTGCCTTTTTGGATAAAGTCTCATACCTGTGCCTTTAGTTCTCTTTTATATTCCCCTTTTTTTTTTTTTTTTTTCCCCCCCCCCCCCCCCTTTCTTTCTTTTTCTTGAGTGACTAAGAAGCAGTACAGTTTTGAAGTTATCTTCTCAAGGTCTCCAGGGATAGTGCTCCAGCCCCTGTAGTTGCATGGTCTGTCCTGGCCACCAGCATTCTTAGGCCAAGCGTGTCAAGGTTTTTTCTGTTTCTTGTAGCAGGAGCCTGTTAAAATATCTGATTCAGATATTCAGACACTGGTCAGGGATCAGAAGCTTCAATAGGCATCTGGAATAATAAACATCTTTTAGCTTTTCTCAGAAGTATTGTGCTTTCGGGGTAAATGCGGGTTTTCTTTTCTTTTCTGTTCCACCTTTTCCCTTGGCACAAAAGCGCTTGGCACTTAGGTGTGTGGAAGAAGTTATGATACCGTTTGGGTAGCTGAGAGAAACTATTACTGTGTGAAATAAAAACAGCTCAAGGTTCTATCCACATTGAGTTCCGAGCATGTTCAGGCATGGTTCAAAAGCATTCCAGGCTAAAGTAATGTTAACGTAGGTTTGTCTGCCATAGAAGTTGAGTTGTCTTGAGTCCTTGACTACAAAGGATGGTAGCAGAGGCTCGTGAGTGCAGCGTGATGATTATATTGTTCTGCAGCCCTATGGGTATTAAATTGTTTGGGCTCTTTGTAGCAGTGTGTGAGCCAGTTTGCTGTGGCTGGTGCTGCAGCTACATCTTTTGACACCCTTGCACCCAAAAACAGAACAGGCACGTGCAGGAAGGGTATGTTCCCAGAAGCCGAGGCTGTCCCTCACCTTAGCATTCCACTTCTGAGAGCTCAGAGGGGTTTGGTCAGGAATATCCTAGTGTGAAGTTAAGAGCAGCTTCAAGAATTAGGTTTGTAGTGGCTTTATTATAGCTGATCAAAGGGGAGTTCTCTCTGCCCTGTGGAAGCAGCATGCATGACGTTGGTTTCTACCATCTCTTTTTGTCTTATTTCAAATGTGGACTCTGATCTATGATTGACTGAGATGTCAATGTCTTGGGGTGACCCAGGAAGTTACCACCTGCACAGCAGAAGTGGTAGAACAGATGGATAGCTTGTGAAAATACCACCACATGTATTGTGGCTGCAGATAAACCGGGCTGTGAACACCGGTGGATTCATGATCGCAAAGCTGTGGAAGGGGAAGGCAGCAGTAGTTTTCTTGTTGGTGTTTCTTGGTTAATTGCTACTGGTAAGTCTGAGAGGTATCATGATTATTTCCTCTTTCTGTCATAGAAACCCTTGCTGAGATGTGGATTTTTTCCTCTCTGGCCCTCTCAGACTGATCCAACCCGAGCACTGGCGCAGGAAAATGGGAGTGGAGGCCATGCCAACTAGAGCAGGATGGGCTACCTCTGTTGTATGACACACTGTAGAGGATGCCTTAAAAAGTGATTGTCATACCTTAGCGCTCTGTAGCGACCAGGTACGAAAAGGATGCCTTAACGAGTGACTGTCGTACCTTAGCGCTCTGCAGCGCAGGGTGAAGCAGTATGAATAAGAATACTTACTGGGTAACTAACAGGATTAGGGATTCTTCTGTCTTTAGTTACTGTTTATTTTCTTCTTTAGTACCAGTCTTTGTTGAATGCTTGTGTATCTTGATAAAATCCCCAAGTACTAAGTCGGATTGGTTCTGTTTGCCTGTTCTAGGTTTACCTATGGCCACGCTGGAACAGTCTACAAGGAATTTGTCTACATTTCAGGAGGCCACGATTACCAAATTGGCCCCTATAGAAAAAACCTGCTCTGTTACGATTACCGCACGGATGTTTGGGAGGAGAAGAGGCCGATGATCACTGCCCGAGGGTGGCACAGCATGTGCACCTTACAGGACAATATCTACTCCATCGGTGGCAGCGATGACAACATAGAAACCATGGCTCGTTTTGACATTCTGAGTGTGGAGTCGTACAGCCCTCAATGTAACCAGTGGACCAGAGTTGCTCCTCTCTTGCAAGCGAACAGCGAGTCAGGGGTGGCAGTTTGGGAAGGCAAGATTTATATCCTCGGAGGCTACAGCTGGGAAGAAACGGTCTTCTCCAAAACAGTCCAGGTTTATGATAAGGAGAAAAATAAGTGGTACAAGGGAACTGACTTACCCAAGGCAATTGCTGGTGTGTCGGCGTGTGTCTGTGCATTGAAACCCAAAACAGAGGACAAAAAGAAAAAGACGAAAACAAAAAAACATCAAGATCGAGGAAGATGACTACTTCTGGATAAACACCCTTTGATGGTGGACTCCAAAAGAACCTTGTATTTAATCATTTCTATCTAACCTTGATTCTTTCTTTTTAAAGGGGTGAGGGTGGGGGGGGAGGCATCTTCTGAAGCCTCACAAAATGTACAGTTGAACGTGGTTTTTTGGATTAAGCTCATGTTTAAGGTAAAAACAACAAAAGAAACAACAACAAAAAACCCCCTCCTACTATATAAGGGGTGATATGGCAAGAGAGATTACTTTGCTCTCCTGAATGTTAAGGCTTAGTCTTTTACGTCTGTGGTTCATGGCATTTCCACGTATATCGTATTGTATCAACTTTTTTAAAATAAGGTTGAATCTGTGGCTGAGACGATAACGTCAAGGGGGAGGAGGCAGAGTAGTAAGTGTTGGGTTTGAAGTTATGGAGCAGTTCAAAGGAGTTCAGAAGCAACTGCTAAGAAAAAAATGAAACAAATCTTCAATGTTGTAAATCTTGAATTTTTGTAATGTTAAATTTCATTTACAATACGTTCTTGAGTTGTTAGTGTCAGATTTCTGGAACACGTGAGTGTTCAAAGAGAACCTTGCTTTTGGTGAATGCAGGTCAGATCAGTTTGAAGAGTAAGTAACTCCACTGTACCCTTAGGATGAAGACAACTTTCCTTTGTGGCTAAAGAATAGATGGGATTGACTTGGGCTTGGATTGATACCATGGTGAATTCTGAAATCTGGGAAAGGTGAGGTGACTTTTGTATCCCTCGTTATGGCTCTTTTCATATATAAACACAACATCAAGTTTTTCTTAGGCTTTAAAACA